GATGTTTATCGCAATCTGAACTCAATTATTTAATCATTCAGTTATTGAGATTTCTTGTATATAATTTCTTATATTTTTCGGTTACTTAAAGTATTCCAAGGTTCATTCGTGGAATCGTAGTTGATCGCTTTTTCTAAAGTTCTCACTTGGTCGTTATAAAGTAACAATTATTTTCAAAATAACATTAGTATTTTTGTTTGTTTTAGCGCAAAGCCACATTGGGCTATCTGCTTTGTTCATTGCGGGGAGTCGAATCCCAAATATTTTCGCTGTAAGACCGTAAACTTACCACTGATCCACTGACGGACGTAATACACACAGTTAAATGTTAAGAAAAACCTCATTCTAAAAGTAAATGTGAATGTTTGTAGCTATTTGAAAACTGATAAAATTTAATCACATCATAAATAATAAAATAATATAATGATCATTACTAACAAGTGTTTAACTTACAGTTGATCAATTACCAAGGATCGCCTTTCTATCTACTACTTTTTCCCCTTTTCAACATAGCTGTAGAAATAATTTGAATACATCGAATAAAAAAATATACAAAAGTAATTAAAATAGCAAAAAAAAAACTATAAAGAAAAACAAGGGTAGGTTTTTTGGAGTGAAAAATTAGTGTGTCTTTAAAAACGAAATTCTTATCAATCCATTTGAAATACCTTATAGAAAATTGAGGGACTTTAAAGTTAGGTCTGTTATTTTTAATTATAGACTTGTTTTCGTAGATGACGAATATCTTATGTTGAGTGTTTTAAATGCCCGAATATGGGATAAGGAGAACAAGATGTTTAGAGAAAATGGTATAAATAGATGGCAGGTGGCTAGATATATAGATTGGTCATGAAACTAAATGTTCGTAAACACTAGATAAACAGTAAGCTGTAAGAACGTTAACAATACATCACCATCAGAAAATGGAAGATCTGGCCTCCATTCTCTAAGTAATTTTGGAACTTTTTCTCTATCGGAAATATCATACTAGCAGTAATAAAACAAAACGGAAAAAGACTTGAATTGCTTATTAGCTTTAGTTACACAGCCAACATTTGGTTTGATAGTTTCATCCTACAACGTGTAAAAAAGAAGAAGCAAACAGAAGTCAGTTTCAGAATAAGGAACAAATTTGTTTTACACTTGACAATCAACTGGGGCAAATGAAAACTTCTTGTTTTATTGAAATTTCCAGTGATGTAAACATAATGAGATTAGAGTTTAATAAGGGTGACATCTGCCTATAGATTCTTTAAAACGCCAACGTTTCGACGTCCGTGTTCGGTTTCGAAAACAAATAACATTTAGCAGAAACACTGGAACGTCATCTGCTTTTCCTAATAAAGATAGTGGGCGTTTATAATAAGCTTCTAATTAAAGTATAGTTACACAACACCTTATTTCTGCCCAGGATCTGATTTTATATCTTCAACCTAATACAAAAAAATCTAATCCTAACAAAGTAAAAACAACTTAGTTTATTTAATCTCTTACAAGGGAAGATAACCTCAGAGTAGAAATGCTTTTTTTTTTTAAATTATTATATAAATTTCATTATTGGTTGAGCATGTGGGAGGTGGAGGGTGAAATTGTCTCGAAGAGATTACGTTGAAAAAAAGCTTTCTGAAGTCTATCAGTTCTAAAACTACCTGTCATGGCCAGGTGTTAGAGCGCTCAACTCGCAATCTGAGGGCCGTGGGTTCGAATCCCCGTCCCACCAAACATACTCGTCCTTTCAGCCGTCAATCCCACTGTTCGTTGGTAAAAGAGTAGCCCAAGAGTTGGCGGTGGGTGGTGATGACTAGCTGCCTTCCCTCTAGTATTACTCTGCTAAATTAGTGACGGCTAGTGCAGATAGCCCTCGTGTTGCTTTGCGCGAAATTCAAAAACAAACAAACAGTTCTAAACATGTTCTGTTTTATTTTAAGAGAATCCTCAGATGTTTCAATGCAAGTGTATTAAATTTATGTTTGTTGCATTATTGGAAAATTAATTACTATAATTATTCTAATTACAGACATAGTATGGCAATTGCAGGGATCTTATACGTTATATGACTGAGGAAAAAAAAACAGTCTCAACTCCGAAAGTGCTAGGTTTTCTAACGTTTTTTTTTTTTTGTAACGAAAGAAAAATTTCTAGAAAGCGTCAGCCACTTTCCACCTGACAGTAGTTACTATTACGTTACTTTTTTGTTTGTTTTTAAAAGGAATTTCTGGTTTGATATCAACTTAAATTACTTAAACTGTAGAATCTTTTACTTTTTTTTGGTTATTTTTACTACTTTATCTACTGAAAGGCGATAATGTCTTTAACGACTGAAAGAGCTGAAAAGGGAACGAATTTATTCTAAACGCCATCTAAGACATATAATTATCTCAACGAGAAAATAGAAAAGTATCCGTTTAGAAAATGTTCAGGGATTTGGGACTTGTTTAAGTCATTCATATGAACATTTTGTCTTCAAGTCGTCCCTTTCTTTATAACTGAAAGCACTAAAATGAAACTTCCTAAAAATGTTAATTTATTAAAAAAAAACATTTTGTAATAGATTCTTTCTCAATTTATTGAAGTCTAGGAACAAAATTCATCCAAATCTAAAATTATTAGAGATTTAAGACTCTTGTAGCTTCTTTATTATTTTTATTTTGATATATTTTTATCCTTTCTTAAAACCTCACTACATTTTTTACAGTTTGGTTAACCTCTTTCATAGAAATTACTAAAGATCGGTGAAACTTACTTAAACAACCACAATAATCATTACGCTCACCAAAAGAAAAAAAACGCTACTTGTCTCTTACAGCTTTTCTTGGATCTTCTCTTTGTTATATGTGATCCTCTGTAGCGTTCCAAAATATAAAAATTAACAAAGGCGGGAGGATTGCATAGCGACTGATCTGGCTTTGATTTGGTGACATCAGACTGTTGTAATATTCTACTGTGCTCCGAGGTGCGAAGATACTCTAGAGCGAACTTATGCATTTATGTATGTATGGTAAGAAAAAGATACATCAAAATCTGTAGGGGGGTTTCTAAATGTTTATCAACTTAGATACTTAGATATATACCACTAATTCAGGGGTTACTTCAAAGATTTCCCAGAAAAAAACATACAGGCGTCTGAAATAACTTTCTAATTAGGTAACTTCGCTTGTCCTTTAAAACGAAAACAGGAAAGTGCTAAATGAAAGATTAATTACCTGTTTTGTTTTTAATATTCTTCATTTTTATTATGCTGTGTATAATGTTAGGTTGATTTTTTTTCACAAAAATATCTTTAAATTTGACTTCATAAAACATTAAATTATTATATCTACTTGGTTTATTTGTATATTGATAAATGAATAAGCTATTAAATTGAAGTTTTTACTGTTAATAAACTTTTTTTTACGTAATCTCATATTTATTAAAGTAAACACGACGAAAATTTCATAAAATCTGGTGAGTTCAGCTGTTGTCAAAAACTCATGAGACTAGCTCTTCAGTCAACACAGAGACATCATCACCAGAGTTTAATCTGTAATGTAATATTTCAAGCAGTTTAAATTGATAAATTTCAAATCACTAAGAAAAGATTTGCTTAATGTCGAAACGTTTAACAAACAAGATGAAAATATTCCTTTTTTTTTCAATAATTTTCGTTCTGATTATTATTTATCATAGTGTGGAAAGGAATAATTCCTACAATAATACAATCAGCTCAACTTATTTCAACAATTTATATAACCGTGCAACACTTCTTTAATAATGCTTGTTTGTTTTTAATTAAGCACAAAGCTGCACAATGGACTAACTGTGCTCTGCCCACCACGGGTATCGAAACCCGGATTCTAGCGTTGTAAGTCCACAGACATACCGCTGTGCCACTGGGGGGGATTTAATAATGCATTCTTATAACTTATTAATTATATAAAAATATTATTAGACCACCAAATGATTTATTCTAAAGGAACGACATACCTAGCCGGTGCTCAGAGCAGAAGTAGATTTGCATCAAACATACTATGTATTACATCTGATTTTGATAAGACAGTATTATCTTTATATATTTGAAAGTTAAATATAAAATAAAACTCATCGCATTAAAACTTTTTCTATTAAGAACATTGATCTATTTTAGAGAAAAATATTTTTAAGATTTATAATTACATCAGTATTAAAAGCAGTATTAAATTGAAGGATAATGACAATTGCGAAATTATACTTCTTATAAGTTACCCGACTAAAAACATGAATATAACATCATATTTATTTACTAGATTGTGGTAATTTTAGTATTAACGGTTTCAACAGTTCCTAAAGAAACATTAATATAAAACTAGATTTCTTCGTTATAGTTGGAGCAGTACAGTGTTAACTGTTTTAACAGTTTCTAAAGAAACATTAATATAAAACTAGATTTCTTCGTTATAGTTGGAGCAGTACAGTGTTAACTGTTTCAACAGTTTCTAAAGAGACATTAATATAAAACTAGATTTCTTCGTTATAGTTGGAGCAGTACAGTGTTAACTGTTTTAACAGTTTCTAAAGAAACATTAATATAAAACTAGATTTCTTCGTTATAGTTGGAGCAGTACAGTGTTAACTTTTTTAACAGTTTCTAAAGAAACATTAATATAAAACTAGATTTCTTCGTTATAGTTAGAGCAGTACAGTGTTAACTGTTTTAATAGTTTCTAAAGAAACATTAATATAAAACTAGATTTCTTCGTTATAGTTGGATCAGTACAGTGTTAACTGTTTTAACAGTTTCTAAAGAAACATTAATATAAAACTAGATTTCTTCGTTATAGTTGGAGCAGTACAGTGTTAACTGTTTTAACAGTTTCTAAAGAAACATTAATATAAAACTAGATTTCTTCGTTATAGTTGGAGCAGTACAGTGTTAACTGTTTTAACAGTTTCTAAAGAAATATGAATATAAAACCAGATTACTTTATTAGATTGTGGCCACTTCAAGTTAACTATTTTAGCTGGTTCTTTTTCTATATTTTCAGATCACAAATGACGAAGAAGCATTCCAGACCTATAAATTAATATATTTGAGCTATTAAAGAAGGAACAAATACGAACTAAGGAAGAACACAAAAGGAAAATGTTAATGTGAACTAATTTATTTCTCTACTGATTGATCAAATGGATCATAGCAAACATTAAAGTTTGTCCGTTAGTATAGAGATTTTGATGGTTTAGCAGTTCCCAGTCATAACGTACAAAATATATACATGCTGATAGTATTCTAGAAATTCAAAATAGAGTTAACTTTCCAGGCGAGTTTTCCAAATACATAATCCTGTTCATTTCTGTCACAAGAAACACATCGTACCTTACCATTTATACAACCGATTCTTTGATAGCAAATGAGATGCTTGAAATAATTATGCCTTGACTTTATTCCCATTACAAGGCAGCAACTGTTATAGATTCATGAATAATCGCTAACTTCCGATATCGAAGACTAACGATAGGAAATGCACTTTAGCTGGTTGCATAGTAAAACTACGAATAATACGTTCAGTAAAGAAGAAAGAGCGAATTAACCCCCCCCCCCCTTTTCAGCGGAAATACTTTTTTGAGGAAACAACTGAGTTTGCATTGGCGAAGATGTGATGGTTATGTGACCCCGATAATATGTTTGCTTTTAGAACTGTTCTATTTGAATATTGTTGTTCTCTTACTTTCCAGCCAGTAGAATGTAAGTAATGATAGGCATGCATAATAGCAGCATTTGCTTCGTTGTATTTTGAATGCAAAGTACAGTAAGTACTCAGAACATTGAAACATGGCTGTCTATCTAATTGTACAAGAAAGTAAAAAAACATTGGTTGGAATTGTGTTCTTTGTACTAGTTTATCCCTTGGTTTTTGTAGCATACTCTGAGCTTGAATGCCCAAATTCTTGTTTTTGCGATGATAACGGGCATTTTATAAGCTGTATTGGAGATGGGTTATGGCACATGCCTCGTAACGTACCTACTTCAGTCAAAAGACTCGAACTTCGAAACTATATCATTCCAACTTTATCAAGTAAAGATTTGGAAAAACTGAATGATCTGCTGGAGCTTACAATTTATCAATCTGAAATTCGCTATATCGAAAACGGAACTTTTGTCAATTTAAAGAAGCTCCAGCGCCTAGAATTAAGTCTAAATCTCATAGAAAAACTAAATGCTTCTATTTTTGTTGGTCTGAAAGAGCTGCAGTATTTAGACCTATCGTCCAACAAGTTAACTAGTACTGAAGAAGCTCTTCAAAACTTAAAACTGGTAGAAAAGTTGAATCTTAGGACCAACAAACTTACCACAATCACTTCAAGAAGCTTTAATGGGCTTCTTGAAGTTCAGTATCTCAATTTAGATTCAAACACTATATCTAATATTGAAGCAGGAGCTTTTCAACACTTAACAAATCTTGCCCATTTGATCCTTAGTAACAATCCGTTAACTAGCTTGTCACGATTGAACTTTTTTGGTTCCAAGCTCCAGTATATTGACTTCTCTAACGTGGGTCTCATGCATGTACCACCAAGCTTGACAAGGTTCGTACGAGATCTCAGACTAGCGAAAAATAATATCACACTAATAGGAGCTGGGGATTTCGATAGCTACCCATACTTGGGTCTTCTTGTTCTTGATGATAACAATATCACTAAAATAGAAAATGATGCTTTCGGGAGACTGGAATACCTTATGCGCTTGTCGCTAAATGGCAATAACATCAAGAAGATTCCACTTAACTTGCCTTCTAGTCTACGTGCTCTGTACATTGAGGAAAATCACATGAAGAAACTATTTTCATACAGTTTTCGTGGACTGAACCTCTTAGAACAGCTCTTTCTCCAGAGGAACGATATTATTGAATTAGAGATGTGTGCCTTCTGCGACTTAGTTCAACTGAAAAACCTGGACTTGCAAGCCAACAGGATCCAGAATTTGACCAATGGAGTTTTTGCGAATTTAACAAACTTAGAGAGTTTAGACCTTTCTCAAAATAAATTGAAGATTTTAGGCTCTCGATGTTTTGCTGGCTTAACCAATCTAAAAATTCTTCAGCTATCACGTACTTCTACGTCCATTGAGTTTGATGATTCAGTTTTCGACACACTTAAAAGTCTTGAAATCCTTGAGCTGTATGACAGTGCTCCATTTTCAGTCGAAATTCTCAATTCCACTCGCGCTTTGCATGGCCTTCGGAAACTGAAAGAGCTCAACATCATGCATAACAAGCTAGTCTGCTTGCGGTCAGACTTACCATCGTTTTTCTCAGCCATAAAAGTAATTAAAATGAGTGGAAACAAATGGCACTGTGATCGAAGTGTGTTGTGGCTAACCAAGTGGTTACGAACGACAAGTATTCAGTTTTATCGTAGTTATGATGTCAAATGCTCTTCGCCAGATCAACTGGAATACAAACCTATTATGCTCTTAACAGAGAAAGACTTTATTATTACTACCACTTCATCTACCGATCTGAGAATAACGACTGAATACCAAAACATTAAAACACCAGTTAACACAGTTACAAGAGATCAATCTGTGGGAAGACACTATCCTTATGAGCATCTTATTCCAGTCGGTATAGGTACAGATTCAACAAAGATGATAACGGAAGAAACTGTCCCTCACCATGTAGCATCAACAGTATTTACTGATTATCCTCCAGCATTTGGAGACGATAAGCACAAACAAAAAAATATAAGTTTTAATAAGTTGCAAATAAATGTATCAAAACACAATTTATCTGCAACCAAAAGTTCAAATGGAAGTTATATGGAGTATACATTAAATAAAATCGTGCATTTAAATGTGACCTCTTCATACAAAAGTAAAACTCATCTTGTAAAAGTGTTAAAAACTGATACAAATGAATACAACACTACACAATCTGCTTATAAAGGTATCATCATAAAAGAAAAAAGCAGAAATGTTTGGATGATGAAGGGAAAAAATGATACTGCTCCAACAACAGCAGGAAATCAAAAACGTTTTTCAACTCCGAAAGAATTTTACTTGTCATCAATAGCAACAGTTCATAATTTAGCACATCACCATGATAAAACTCTCACCATATTATCTTCTAGTTTAACTGGTGGCTGTGTGTTATTAATAATCGTGTTACTTGTCTCCATTGCAGTGTTCAAATATCGCAAAGGATCAGATGCTGCAGCCTGTGATGTGCGTAAAAGCAGCAGTAGCATTTCTTACTGTCCACAACGGGATGAGGTGTCAATTCTGACCCTTTCCGAAGGAGCTGTAGGTCTCAAAACGGACACTCACCATGGCCTTGGAAACAAACTCTATTATTTAATGGAAAATGGAAATATTAGCAAAGATCCGACCAAAGACGCAATACCTGATCCACAGCTTCAGGATTTGCTTTCCCAACTATCTGGGAAAAATGGAGAAATTTGTATTAATGAACACGTGGTCTTGTGAGAGTTTGGGTTGTTTTTGGATCGAAGTATGATATATATTTTTCGTCGTTATCCGAGATCTGCATATAGAAAATAAGGCTTATATGACACAGAAAAACTGTTTAACAGTGTTACCAGTTTTTCTTTAAAGTTACTGATTGATTTATCTTACAAAAAATAATGCAGGTTATGAGATTCTCATTCAAGGACTTGTATAGATATTTTTAAGTGATTGGCCATTTTTCATAGTTCATTTCAATGAAATGAGCAAAGTCGGTCATTTTGTTTAACACTATAACAATGAGGTAGAATTCAAACCCTTAGATTTAAAAGCTCTTACTAACCTAAGGGGCCTTTGTGCATTTTTTGTCAGGCTTTTTATCTTAGTAAAACGTCTGTATTGTCTAGATGTCATCAAAACTAAAACTAAGGTATTTTTATATAAAGAGTATGAAATATTAGGCGCTTGAATAACCATTTTATATTGTGTGGAAATTAAATACCCGCTAGACGCTGAAATATTTCAAATATTACAATTTTTAACAGCGAGGATACCAACTGGTGTATCAATGCATTCTAATCATTGTAAGTTTTGTTTAATGACTTCTCATATATCTAGTATGAAGGCGTTTAAACTATTTATATCATTTAGAAGGTTAATTTCTAATTTTTATCTGTGTAGGTAGTTTGTTATGATCAGAAGTTAAAGATAATTCAAACTAAACTTCAGATAAAGATTCAAGGCTATTCCAATTATTAGTCAAGAACTGTTAATTAAATAGAAACTACGTATTATGTAATTTGTGTGTCTTACGAACAGCAGTAGTCTCAAGTATAAAACTGAAGAGTGGTAAATAACTTTAAATCTATTTAATAGTTGTTTTTTTCCCTCTTATATGTTTGTGTACCCTCAGTTGACTGCTTTTGTAAAGGTATTGTCTAGAACGTGTTTGAAAACTCACTCTGCTGTGTAATTGTAATGTATTGTATATTGTTATTTCCTTAGAGCTTGTTACTATCCATTCTTTATATCAAATGTTTCAAAGGTTTTTCGATAAAAATAAAAAAAATTCGAAGTTAAACATCGTAGAGTTTTAAAAACAGCATGTCTGTATGTATCACGTGAAAGGTTTGGTAGTACGAAAAATTAATTTTTTTATATTAATTGCACTCACTGTTTCTGATGTACGTGTGATGTTTAAACACATGTTGTTATTTTCTGAGAACATCAATATAAAACACTAAAAATGTTCTTGTATTACTTAAAGGTAAGATGATAATACGTTGCTTGTATATAGCAAGATTAATAAAGATACTTTTTTTTTAGTAATGAGCAATTTTAACTCTAACTTCCTTCTAAACATTAGAGAAAAACAAAATAAAACGAGAAATGTGAATCGTGTAGGTTTGGGGAATTTGAATTTTATTTTCACAGCTGAAGATAGAAATTCAGAAACAAAACCCATGTGAAAAATTACATGGATGAAGAAAAATGGAGAAACGCCCTTCTTTTCACATTTTTTTAAAGTCCTGACTGCCTACTATCATGACACATGAAGTCTCGCTGTTTTCACATTACGGACTGAACTTTACCTCCACTTCTCGACAACACGGACTAAACTTTATCTCCACTTTTTGACAGAATTCTTGAATATCATGGATTGAAGTTTATCTCTACTTCTTGTAAGCATCTTTGTATTATTACAGAGTGTGTTTATATGAAGTTTACTTTTACTTCTGTATTATTACAGAGTGTGTTTATATGAAGTTTACTTTTACTTCTGTATTATTACAGAGTGTGTTTACATGAAGTTTACTTTTACTTCTGTATTATTACAGTGTGTTTATATGAAGTTTACTTTTACTTCTGTATTATTACAGAGTGTGTTTATATGAAGTTTACTTTTACTTCTGTATTATTACAGAGTGAGTTTATATGAAGTTTACTTTTACTTCTGAACAATATTATTGTATTACTATCAGGAGTACCCGTCCCCTGGACGGAAGTTATGTAAATTCATGATTAATGAAAGATTATCTTAGGACATGAAAAGTTGCTTTCCTTATATGTAGTTGTAAGAAAACCTAAATACGCCCATAAAAACTGCAAAACTGTTTATATCCCCATGGAAAAAACCTTTAAGCCAAATTTTGTGAAGATCCATCAACAGGAGCGAAGTAGTGGTAGTAAAAAACGCGAAAACGCGCATAAAAACCGCAAAACGCAAAATACAAAACTGAAATATTTGTATGTATCTCCCTATAGGCCTAGTAAACTTCCATACCAATTTTGGTGAAGATCTATTCACACCCTGCGAAGTAGTTACATAGGCAAATAACATACAACAGAGTATTATTATATTTATATAGATTCTGACTAAGGTTTACCTCCGCTTCTCCAGATATTCTTGCCATATTACGGGTTAATGTTTCCTCCCACTTCTCGACAATATTCTTGTATGTGACATGTATTTAATTTCTTCAAAAATAAGTATTATAAAATAAACGATTAATTAGATTATTACAAATAATAGTATAAAAATAGTATAACTAGTATAAAAACAAAAGAATCAATAAGATTATTCATGTCTAAAATAAAACAAATTATTCATTGTCAGTAAAATATATATATTACATTGTAAATAATAAGTCGTATTTTAAGAGCAGTGATCGTCAGTAGTTTTCCATTCTCACAGTTTCTTAAAATTAAACCAGCGTAGCGTTATCATATAATAACTTATTTCGTTGATAAATTTTTAAGAAAGCTAAGAAATATATATTTGCATACATACGTTTTTTATGTTCTTTTTTTGTTGAATAAAAACGGACATTTAATATAATTTCGATATAAAATTTATGTTTACTACTTCCTAAATAAACAGAAACTATAATTTGAGTGGAATTTATTTGTGTGTTTGTTTGCCCTCTAATTCTTCCTAGCCTTTTACATTTTCACCCGTCAAATATGGGCCCGGCATGGCCAGGTGGTTAGACTTGACTCGCAACCTGAGGGTCGCGGGTTCGAATCCCCGTCCCACCAAACATACTCGTCCTTTCAGCCGTGGGAGCGATATCATGCCATTTCCACTATCATTGGTAAAAGAGTTGGCGGTAGGTGGTGATGACTAGCTGCCTTCCCTCTAGTCTTTCACTGCTACATTAGGGACGGCTAGCGCAGGTAGCCTTTGTATAGCATTGCGCGAAATTCAAAAACAAACAAACAAACCGTCAAATAGTTTATTCAACTAGGAATGATTCGAAATATGTCAAGAATCAGTTCTTTTTTAATGCGTAGATTTCATAGCTTCAATGATGGTTAAATATAGATCAGTCAGTGGAAGGCTATCTGTGCTAGCCGTTCCTCATTTAGTAATGATAGAGTAGAGGGGAGGCAGCTAGGGAACACCACCCATCGCCAGTGAGATTGACCGTCACATTATAACGCCTCCACGGCTGAAAGGGCGAGCATGTTCGGTGTGACGGGGATTCGAACTCTCGACCCGCAGATTGTGAGTCGAGCGTCCAAACCACCAGGCCATGTCAGGCTGATATTGATGGAATTTCTCCAGTTTCCTCTTTCATTACATGTGTTATACATATAGTCTATTTGCTTTCAATCATTACTGGCATATTTGTGAAGAAAACAGAAACACTATTTATATTCATAACTAGTGAAACATTAATTTAAAAATTGTATTTTTTTTCAAATCCCATCAATCATTTGAGAGATTTCTTTTTCACACATTGTTTATACATACTTTCAAAATAGACACACTTATATTAAATGAGATGTTTTTAAAGTCATATGTTACTTATTGGTTGTTGAATAAAAACTAAAATAAAATATTATTTAAATAATCAAGCCCAGTGAACATGGATGATTTTATTCTTATATTTTATATTGCCACTGGCAGATTTCGGAAAAAAACAACAACACATTTTAATATTTATATTTATTAATAATTTCGTTTTCAAATCTCATTAGTCATTTAGGGATTTAATACCCATTGATTTAAATACCTCATAACAATATCTATCAACAGTGTGTGTGCTTAACAATAAGACACATTCTTTCTTTTTTTTTGGTATTTTAAAATGATCAAGGCCTGATCAAACCGAAAAAAAGGTAAGAGAAGCTTATCAAGAACAGAAAGAACAACAGAAAGGAAAAAGGTTGTCAGGTGTAACGAAAATGATACTGTTAAGTTCTCATGAATTGAACGTGAGAGAGAGCGACAGTGTGAAATAAGACAAAGTGAATAAAGTTAGAAAGACAAGCCCAAGACCCCAGTAAAGAAGTAGCCATAGATGAAACGTAAGAATGATCCTTCTCTGTAAAACCAATAAATAAATCATATAAATGATTTGTTAACTTTCATAAACTTTTCATCTGTAGTTTAACTAACTATAACAAACGATTTCATTTATTCATCTTATTGTTATAAAGCCGCATGGTGGATCAGCATATTGTAGGCTTATAGAAATAAAATCGAGGTTTAATCTCTGTAGTGAACACAGCAGAGATAGCCAATTATGAAGCTTGATGCTTAACAATAAACCTACGAACCATAATGACTAAGCTTGAGTATTTTAACACACATACTAAGTTTAACAGGAATAGTACCACAACATCACTTAAAATTAAACAAAAAAAAAACACTTAAGCTGTTTTTCCAGTGGCACAAACGGAATTGTGATCCACTATATCAGTCTATCGTAGGATGATTAACCCCCAACTAACAGCTGTTACCTATCATAGAACTGGATGGACTAGAACAAAAGGGGGTGAAACATGTAACTTAAAGACATGCCAGAGTGACATGGACCAGCCTCGACCTCGTAAGCACCTGACTAGGATTCCAAAGCGCGACGTCACTTAGCCTAGTACACAATTTAAATATGTAATGCTTGTACACTAAGATGCCTGGCTGATTGGTATTGTTTGAAGCACACAATAAAAAATTTTGAATTTTAGGGAATTATTATTTAACGTTTTCTGTACGTTATACAATCGAAACTACTCTTTTAAGGCTTGGGATTCAATAGATCATAAGCTTCTAAGCTTAGCCTTTTAATTTTTATTTGTTATTTAAACAGTGGCATCTTACGAAATCAATTACCTTTATATACAACTTATCACTGTCGCTTAAAGGGTCTTGTGTTAAGAGTTTTCTATATTTTTGACGATCTTCATTCGACAGTAAGAGGATTTTAGTTGGACTCTAGTAGGTTTATTCGCAATTATGTCGCACTTTAGGAAAACGTAGAAACTTAGCAGAACACATTTTTCCTCGATGTTTTAAGGTCGTTGATAATGTTAATCTCTTTCAGTTGATAGGCCTGGCATGGTCTGATGGTTAAGGCGCTTGACTCGCAATCTGTGGTTCGCGAGTTCGAATCCTGTTACTGAACATGCTCGCCCTTTCAGCTGTGGGGACGTTATAATATAATGATTAATCCCACTTTTGTTTAGTAAAAGAATAGCCCAAGAGGTGGTTGTGGGTGGTGTTGACTGAATGTTGTATCTTTAGCCAATCACTTTAAAATTAAGGATGTCTAGTACAAGTAGCCCTCGAGTAGTTTTGCGCGAAATTCAAAAGACAAACAAACCTTCAATTGATGCAATTAATTTAGACCCGTTTTGAGAATTTAAAACTGAGGCTATGTTTAAAGCTAATAAAAATAAAGTTGCTTAACAAAAACAGTCGGTTTTTCTTTAATCGGTTCAAGAAAGTAGTTATTACCAGCACCACCGAAGGTGGACGGAGGTTATGTTTTCACCCTGTATATTTGTGTGATTGTTAGCAAGATTTCTCACAAAAGGCTGAATAGATTTGGACGAAAGTTGGTATACATTTGGACTATGATCTAACTTAGAATTGATTAGTTTTTGGAAGGTCAAGATTAAAGGCAAAGGTCACAGCAAGGTCACGAAAATCCAAAAAAGTCCTATCTGTTAACATGGGGACCGACTTTTCACAATATTTTTGCTCTATAACTCGTTCAAAAATGAGTGGATTTTGATGAAACTTAGTGAGCACATGTAGAATATTATTTTTTCATTATCCTGCCAAAAAATGGTCCATGTCCGTAGATAACGACGATCATACGAACACATTTTCGTATTTTTTTTTAGAACCGAATATGATCAACGCTGCGTGGCGGAGGTATGTGCCCTACTGAATGGCCCTGTAGTTTAATATAATATATTGCTATTTCTCTCCGTCAGTTTAACACTACTCACCAACACTAAAGTTTGAGATCTAGGGGATCTGAATACTGCGTAATAGGTTAAACGATTTGTGTTATCTTTGGTATGTTTGAATCAAACCAAGCATTTAATTAATTTTGTTACTAATAAATCTCTGACTTATATGTTTAGTAGGTGAAGTAAAATGGAATAAGATTTTAATTAACGGATTATCGACAGTCTGTAGACTTATAACGGGTTATCGACAGTCTGTAGACTTATAACGGGTTATCGACAGTCTGTAGACTTATAACGGGTTATCGACAGTCTGTAGACTTATAACACGAAAAACCCAGATAACCCATTATGTAGCTTTGTGCTTAAGTACAAGTATGTGTGCTTTTTTCTTATGGCAAAGCCACATTGGGGTATCTGCTGTATCCATCG